AAATTTCAAACTTTTATAATAAGTAACTTGAACTCTGGAGAATCACTTTAGCGTAAGGTTATTCAAATTCACTAAATGGTTATCGAGGAAAAAATGAAAAATTAGCTGAAAATCTCGTTTTTACTTGATAATATAATGATAATATTTATAATTGTCTGAAATAAATGCAATTTTAAAGTTTTAATTATTATTTAAACATATTAAAAAGTTTTACGCTCATTATTAATAGAGATTGAAACTAAATATTTTTTTGTTTCGAAGTTGAAATCAAGGCATATTCACTGCCAAAAGTCAGTTAAAAATTTTTCATATTATTCGTTATTTCTTATTTTATTCAAAGTTTTTGGTCAAATTCCAAATTTTCTCTGAAACCGTATACTTTCTTTTAGTATAGATAGTATTTATTTACCTCATGATATGCTGCAAAACCTAATTAATCACGAATTTCTAATTTTACGTACTCTTGTCTCCAATTGTAGCTCCCAAACATCCTTAAGTGACTTAAGGGTATGATAAATTAACGGTGAAAACAATGTCCATTTAAACTGCGTTAAAAGTACGTAATGTGTGTAGCAGTTGTGTTTAATTCACATTATCAACATATTGGATTTAGATTGGAAACTATAGTTTCCAATCTACATTCCTCCATATCAGAAAATAAAATAAGTAATTTTAATTTTAAATAAAATAAGTAATTTTATTTTCTGCCTGATGGAAATTCATTATAACAGCTATAAAACACTAACTGCTACAATTTTCACAAATTAAACATAATTTTATTTTATTGTTAGGCAGTGAAAATGAAATTTTCTAGCAGCTCGACATGAATGTATTTTTAAGTTCTAAAATAGCCTAAATGTGTTTCTATTGTATGTATACTTTGAAAAGAATAATTGAAATACCTGTTTATAGAAGTTATTTGAAGAACTGCATAAGATTTTGAGATTTTAATGTTTTTCCTCTTCGTTTTAATTTAGCTGTAAAATTAATTCTAATTAAGTAAATTAAATAATTCAGTTTCAAAAGGGGTTTTAACAATTATGAATGCTGTTATTATAATGCTGAAGATATATCGAATATATATCGTACCTATTGTTTTTGAGAACAAACGAGAAATTGAGAGAGCTGTAGTTTCCATGTCATGAGTCAAAAATGAGTTCCGTTATATTAAAACGGATGTAGCTGTTCCATTAGAATAAAAATAGAAATATAATGCTGACATCGTTTTGTAATTCTTGTAGTATGCCTAACTTCAACTTAATTTTCAAATTGAAGGTACCTGGACACAGAATTCCTTCATTGATATTTTATAACTTTTAAGCGACGCATTCAAGAGTTCTTTCACATTTTTTATGTATAAATACATTTTTCTACTATTCATTAAACGAAAGACTAAACTTCCTCTCGCAGTTGCCAAAAGTTTTTCTGCGAAATGTATTTGTAGGTAATGTTGACGTTTGCAGTGAAAATCGGAATTGACGGAAGCAATCTGAAATTGTCAATGAACTATTATTTTTTTTTTTTTAATTAAATGAGTTCAAATATTTAGTTTGCAGATTACTGATAGTAATAAAAATAGATAACGTGGTCTCTAACGACGTTCACTGTTAAAAACTGTATTTTATTTTTTTATTAATCAATCACAAGCGTACTAATGCAGTTGCTGTTAGGTACCATTATTATATTAAGCAAACTGGAAAAATCAATTGTGAAAAGTTTGATGTTAAAAAAATTAGAATATTGTGCAAATGCCTATTAACCATATAGTCAAGGAAATAAAACACTGAACCTTCAAATTTTGTGAAATAAGTCGGATCTAAATGCGGTTTTTAAGGGATCATTCATCTTCAAAAATGGATCTGTGCATAAAAAAGATGCAGTCTTATAAGCGCACTGCGAAGTTGTTGTAAAAAAACAGACCAGGGTCAGTAATGATAGAAATAAGTCCAATTTTGTTACCCGAGGGTTTTGAGGATTACTGAACACGAATATGCATACCTCGGAACCATCAGGGACAAGTCATTTTAAATTTCCCTAATACTATGATAACTTTAAGAATATGACTGACCCTACCCGTTTCTGTAGCTTCTGGAGAAAGAAGCTTCTCTAAATTAAAAATAATAGAAAATTATTAAAATTAGGTATGGATCAAAATAAACTCAGCGGATTGGCATCAATATTAATAGAAAATGAGGTGACAACTGCGTTAAATTATAACGATTTAATTTCTAATTTTGCAGAAATTAAAGCCAGAAAATATATTTGGTTTTTCATTGATAACTATATTGTTTAATTTTGAATTGTACAACACATGTCTTGTTTGTAGATATTAGGTACATTTGCATAAACAAAAATTTCAAAAAAACGTTTTTTATATCTGTATATACACAACTGTCAATATTTTTAAGGGTGACTATTTAACAGTTTGCCCGGGACGGCCTTAACTCTAGAGACGACCCTGCTGAAACTAGAGCATCCCACATTCTTAACTACCTATTTGTGAACAGTAATCTAATCTAGATCTATATACTCCTGCGCCTTTTAACTACTGTACTTTAGGAAAGGATATTAAACAGAAATAATTTTATTCTCTAATTTAAATAATGCACTGAACCTTCCAATTTCGTGAAATCAGTCGGATCTAGGTTTTTAAGAGATCAATTCATCTTCAAAAATGCATCGGTGCATGTAGCTGTTCATGGGTATAGTCCAATTTTTTATGTCTACTAGTAGGGATTAGGGATAATTTCGATATAAGTACTTCCGTATATGGACTAGCTCCAAATTCCATGAAAATTTATATAGGGGAGTTTCTCTGTGTGATAAGCACTAATTAGTCCGAGTATAAAAATTCCCGCAAGTGTCTGCAAGTAACTGTAAATGTCTATTGCATTTCGATATACACATAAGCATTATATATATACATAGGTGGGTAACAGTTTCATAATTCATATTTTTGCCAATTTTATCCTACTCATTCTTTATATCTACAACGTTTATGTGTCGAAATGCAATGAGCATTTACATACATCTTCAAGAAGTTCCATATTCGGATTAATGCTTACGTTACCAAGAAACTCCCTATAGAAAATTTCATGCGATTTGTAACTAGTTAGTAAACGGAAGTATTGGCTAGTTAGGGTCTGGGTCATCATTTAAAAAGATTGGATTGCTAATGCTAATCTTAACATACAAAAACACGGTAAAGTTCACGTTTTGTAACGACAGTGAGAGGTTAAAGTTATTATTAAAACAGGCTTCTAAGAAGTTGATTTATCAACTTTGAGACTATAAAGAACAGGCAATATTTTTGTTGACTTGGACTACTTCATTAAACTCCCTAGATTGAGCCATTTCTTAGTAAGGAAAAATCTACCTAAGGACTTTTTGGACAGCAGTCCAGAGCCCCATGGATACAAAAAGCTCCCAGCCTCCATTGAAATCAGTAGGTATTGTAAAGAAAAATTTAAAATTAAAAAAATCCGATCATAAGGTTGGTAACCCTGCAATCAATCAACCCGTATACCCGTCTATCGAACGGAACAGGGAATTCCGTACTGCTTGTTTTCGGTCGGTGTAATTTCTCGTGAGTGCATCTATTACGGGGGACCTCCTGACGCTTATCACCCAACGCGATTTTCTTTTTTTTCCGCACTTCTATTCCCGTCGTCAAAATGACAAATTGACGTTGTTATTACTAGAAATGTGTTAAAATATTTTATCGTCCTATTTTTTCCTTTGCCGTTTACATACATCATTATAGACAACAGTTTTTGAACAAAATGATAATTAGTTGAGTAATTAGGCCCATACATAGTATTAGCCCAGGGCCCTACAAATTCACGATGCACCCCTGCTTCTTAGTGATGAAAATAAGTTACGAAATTCGTCTCAAAACTTTGTTACATACGTTATAATTATGTAATGGGAATTTATGTATTTGTTACACCAAAAATTGTTATAAATTTACTTTTAAAAGTCTAGGGTTATTTTATAATATCTGTACATATTCGTTCCTTGTCTTTCGAATGACACCTCACTCGACTATGTTTGAGTTTTTTAACCCTTTGTTTTTTCCAACCTTTTAGAATGCGATTTTCGAGAAATTTTATTGTAGTGTAGGTACTATTTGCATTTTTACACCATAAAAGAAATTTTAACCGATGCCAAGATGTAAGCTTTTCGTTTAATTGGAGTCCCAAAATTATTTTGCACCTGTACTCTTGGTTATCTAGCTACGCCACTAACATTTATACGTAAAAGTTTCTTCCTACTTAACTTTAAATTGATATTCCAAAATAACAGAGGAAGAGTATACTAATTTGCGTTATCAAAATTTTGAATAATTAAGATTAGTTATATTCTGTTACAAATTTTTGTCAAAGGCGCAACCGTATCATATTGACTTTTCTTTTAAGAACCTATGATAATAGATTTTGAAATCATTCTGCATAAAAAATATTATTTAATAAACCCCATAATCCGATAAATTTGTTTTTATCATTAATAATATGTCGCATGACTTATTTAATAATTTAATATTCATTTATTGTTTCTGTTTTATAAGATAGTCCAATGCAACTTGCAGTTAGAAAGAAAATACACAATTTGTACCAATTACAGATCAAAAGATTGGAGGTAAAAAAGAAAAAACGAAAGGGTAGTAATTTCCGATGTAATTTGCGACGGAATGGGTTTTTGTTTTAGTATTAGCCTCACAATTGTCTCAGCACGTTAATATTTCGAAATCAAATCAATCAAAATTTTAGTTATAAAAATTTGAAAAATAAATACCACTTAATATAATCAAAATCTTTGGAAAATACAAAAGTATAGACTTTTTGCCCTTTACATAATAGTGTAACACTATTGTGCACTTAATTAAAAGATAAATGTGGCAACTCATAGGTATGTTATAATAACATAATATCCTAAAGAAATTAAAAGTCAATATTTTTATCAAGTTGGAATACTATTACATAATAAAGTTTATGTCTTACCTTGCTATTTCTGTAGTTCCTACAAAAGAAAGCAGCATTAACAATGTTGGTACAATAATTCACTTAAATGTATTACCGATGAGTTGGTGGCCAACTGCTTTTTCCAGATGACACTGATAAATCATTGAACGACTGATTCTCGGACTCATTTCCCTGATAACTAAATATCCTACTTATTAAAGGACTCAACGAATAATTTCCTCCTCCCAATATGTCATCGATATTTGTGTGATGACTGATAAATAGGTCCTGGGGTCTTTGGTTTTTTTCGGATCTTCTAAGTACGTTATCATACGGTGTTGCTCTTCCACTGTTAGTTTCACTGGGATTCTCCAAACCTTCGGGGCTTGCCCTATCTCCTAATGGAATTACTATTTCGTCAGCAATGCTTCCATTGGATATTCTATTTTCTGTCGGTGAATCGGTGACTTTCGTTTCCCATTTTGTAATACCTTCGGGAATATTTTCTTGACTGTCAAGCCACCAGGCTCTTTCTCCAGAATCGATATGACGAATTTTGTATTTCTGAGAATACTCGGAGGTCATAAGATTTTCGGTTGTATCGAAACTTCTATTCAAAGGGCCATCAGGATAAATCGAAGGGCCGTCCTTGCCTTCACTTATTATTCGTTCAGTGCCTTTGATATTGTATATCCTTCCTCCATCTGATACATCCTCTTTATCGGAATTACTTTCTAACCACCAAGGTCTCTCTCCCGATCTTATGTGAGTAATTTTGTGACGAACTTCTTCAGTTTCAGTTGTTGGCTGATATGCTTTATCGTTCAAATTTATGGTAGCATTTTGATTTGCACTGTTTAATGAAAATTCTCTTTCATTCTCAAAAATTGACGAATCTTCCTCCTCCTCGACGCCACTACCTATTGTTTTATCGTCATAATATTTTGAATTATACGCAACATCGGTTTTTATATCCCACAAAGTTGTGTCTTCTCCTATCAATTCACTTTTATCGCTTGGATCATGATATTTTTGTTTAAAAAAGCTAGTTACAGGAGCTAGAGCTCTCATTAGAAATGATTTTGAATCTGGTCCATTTTCGTTTCTTATTTTGGGGTTTATAGGTGGTTTAGAAACTTTTTCATTATCAGAAGAAGACGAATAGTTCGATACTTGGCTGTTTCCCTTTTTTTCAGCACCATCTTCTTCGTTACCACTGTATGAGCTACCTTCGGATGTAGTTCCACCTGATCGAGTGCTATTAATATTTTTTGAGTCAGTTATGTTGAAGGGTTTGGGAAGTTTTGACCCTGGAGAACCTTTTTTCATAAACTTCATATTGCTACCAACATTTGTTTCCAAATTTGGTTCAGATTCTACGGAGCTCACCGATTCTGTTCGTTTTCCAATTTTATTTTTTGTAGATTTCACGTCGGAATTCATATTTAACACTGATTTTCTGAAATCTTTGTTTGGCAAATTTAGTTGTGTTTTTGAGTTAGCCGTACAAGGCGGTAACTGTTTTTTATTGTCGTTTATGGTTGATTTTGCAGATTTGTTTTCGTCTGAAGATTTTGAGTCTTTTGCTTTTTCTGATTTTACGGAAATCATGCTTTTTGTGGAACTGCTTCTTGATGGAGTTTTAGAACTATCCGTTGAAGGCGTATCACCTTTTTTGCGTTGTGATTTATAAACAGGTTTTGAGTGATCTGAATAATGTAGTCTTGACTGATTAATACGACAAGAATCTTCTAATTGTTCAAATTGGGTTTGTTTATCAGCAACACTTATTTTTGGGCTTATAGGTCTTAAGATTTGTTTTTCAACAAGTCTTGTCATGTCTATTCTACGAGAATTAAGAAGTTGTGTTGGATTTGGAAATGTTGGGGATGTACCGCGACTGATTACATTTATTTGTAAGACATTGTTTCTTTTCTCTTCAACATTTGATTTATTGTCATTACTAACATATTTTGAATCAGTATATGTGGATGGTTTCTCCAACCCACTACATTTATCATTCTGTTGTTGTACGTGAAGCAAGTTCAAAAGTTCTCTATTTTTTCTACTTGTCTCTCTTTGACTGGAGGCCAATCTAGATGACACTGGTCTTATGTAAGCAGTGTGACTTTTTTCTATTGTATTCTTTGGCAAAAATCTGCTTGTAATATATTTATTAGCAATATTACTTACGTCCTCTTTGGACGAATTTGTGCTGGAGGTCCTATATGTGTAAGTTAGATCATCCTTACTTCGTTCTCTACTAATAGGTGATCGTAAAGATCTACTAGCTCCCGGAGAGTATACACTTCTGTAACCGTAAGAGCTATTGGATGAATTATCTCGTTCTACACTTGGATCACGTGATTTGGTTTCTGTTCTATTAAGAGGCCGATAAGAAACGGATGGAACATGAAGAGTATCCTTTTTTTCAATTGCGGACTTAAAACGAGAAGCCAAATCACTTTTTCCATACTGTTTCCCTATAATTACGAAACAGAAATTGAAGTTTCTCGTAACATATAACTTCTATGTTTGATAAAATACTAAATTGTCTAAGTTTCTTACCACTAATAACACCATCCCGCGTAGAAGATTTATCCCGCTGATAAGTTGAACCTGGATTGCTACTACTGGTATTTGTTGAACTTGTATTGGAGCCATATTTATATTTTACTTGTGGAGTATCCTTTAAATCTGAGGGAGTTCTTTTAGAACTTTTTAGGTAACTGCTGCTTCCAAACTGTAAAAATTATTCTTTCTATTTTTTTCTCTTTGTATTTTTTAAAATACCTACCTTTGACGTTGATGTGTCACTTTTTGAACTTGATGAATCGTATGATGGACCTTTTAACCATGGTGAAGACTAAAACCAAAAATATTTTTGCTAAATAACTCTCACTTGTAAAGTGTTTAAAATTATTTTCCATTATTAAATATTGAAGTAAACTACCTCCACTTGTCACAATAAAAGAAACAAATATGACCACTTAGTAACCTTCGTTCTAATACTTTTGACTCCTCCATTAAATATGTATATATACGATATATATAATATACAAATGTATTACGGTTGAGCAAAGTGAAATTAATTATATGCAAACCAAAAAAAAGCGAGACTGCTGTTAGGTATAATATATTTTTTTTAAATGTTTTCAAATGTGCAACACAGGAATAACGTGCTTCCAGTAAGAGCTTTTTAGATTAAAATTTTTTTGAAACGACAGATGCCATGTACTTACATATTTTTTGTAACTGCTCATGATATTCAGATAAATCACAATATATTTTTCACATTTGTATGCTCTATTATTACCACGAAAACCATTTTCTATTCTTATACTGCACTACCTAGAGTGATTAGTTTTCAGGCTTCCGTAGGGTAATAAAATAAAAGATTGTATTGATAGTATGTACAAAATAAATTGAAAATAAATGCCAGCAGAACTAATGAATGCATAAATAAAAACTGTAAGTAATTCTTAAGACGCTTAGCGCCGTCGACGTCGTACCGGAACAGCACGACTGAGACCGAAACTATTTAAAGAATAATTGAACAGCTTTATTTTATGCTGCATCAGAATACAGGGAAGACTTCATTTCGAAAAAACATCGAGACCGAACTAGTTTTAGAGTAATAAATGCTTATTTTTGTTCACAATAAAATAGAATTGACAGGAAATTGTTAAATAACTGTTTAGTTGTATAATTTATTAATCAATTGTGATATTAGTAATTCGTTATGCTTAGGCTTTTTTTGACAAAAAACACCGCCTTTAATAGTGTAATGTAAAGCAACGTCATTATTAATTGCGCTTTATTTTTAACTGCCTAACATAACTCCATTATTCATTTTTAAACAAAAACATATAAAATTCGTTTTTAAAAAGTGCGTATTGTTTCAGTCATGAAATTTATTAAAATACTATTGAAGCATATTCCATTTTCCACAAAAAAGGTGCTTTAATTTTTCACTATAAAATAACCAATTCAACGATTTCAGTCATATGCTTAATTTTAGGTTTAAATTGTCATTATAGAAGAATGATTGAAAAGTTGTGCGAGCTGTTTCAATTCTGCCCTTAACCTTACTATTTATGTTTAATTATTCAGTGATGTAGAATCCCAGATATTTGTATTAGGTTACTCTCTCAATGTGTTGTTGATCTATCTGTAACGGTGTGTGAGTGGCGGCTAAATATCACAAGTTTTGTCTTAGTGATATTAATTTTTAGACCCATTTCTCGCCCTGTCGTTTTTACAAAATTTAACAACTGTTGAAGGTCCTGGATAATATCGTACAAGAAGACCGTGCCGTCGGCATATGGAATAGAATTAATCAGTTCACCATTGATGTTCACTCCAATTCTTTTATTTTGTAAAGCCTGTTTAAAAATTATATCAGAGTAGGTCTTGAATAAAAGAGGGAATAGAATGCCTCCTATCTGACGCCTCGTTGAATGAACGTTGAACATTCGTCGGTTAGTCTTCCATCGATTCGAACCACTGCTTTCTGCTTCCAATACAAGTTTTCTATGATACGAAGACATCTACCATCGATTTCGGAGGTTCCTAATGTGTTCAAAAGTGTTTCATGCTGAATCCTATCAAAAGCTTTTTCGTAATACACCAAAGTTATATAAACATCAGTACATTGATCACGGCAGAGATGCTTAGTACATTCCTAAAGTCGACTTGGGTTTCATTTAGTCTTTTTCGCATTGACATCTTATTTTTTCATGTAACATGCGAAAAGAAACCTCCATTGTATGGTTCATCTGACTAATTAGTCTGTATTCTTCGTTGTTCTAGGCCCGTTGTTTCTTCAGAAGTGCTACAAAAACAGACTTCAGTCATTCTTCGGGTATATCGTCAGTAGAATACACATCGTTAAAAAAATCATCTAAAGAGCTGATATGGTTTTCGTGAATTATTTGTAATAAAAGTTCTGTTGAAATATTGTCTGATCCAGTTAGTTTCTTAATTTTGGCTGATTTTATGGTGTGAAGAACATTACCCTGTGTGATTGGCCTCTAGTAGTTCTCGATTACACGTTTATTCCTACAAAATTATCACCAATCGGAATTTCCTTTATACCTATAGACAATCACAACAAAGTAATTTCCCTACTGGATTCATACAAACGTCCAAAACAATCCCTACTAACCAACATTTCCAGACTAATGCACAAGTTTTTAGAAGATCCAAAAACATATTTAAGCTATATTCTCAAATACAAAAATAATTTAACAAACCTACACGAATATCAATAAGCGCGCACAACACGTTTACACCGAAACAGTTTCAAAATAATGATATTAGTCGAAATAACAGCATTGCTTAAAACCATTCAAAGTGCCCACGCTCTAAAGATATTGTTACTGGTTTTCACGCTTGATAAAACATAAGAAACACAGTTTCTTATAATACTGTGACATTCTAAATATGATTGCTTGGTAAGAAATAAAGACTTGCAATCAATAAATTCAGCAATAGACTAAATTCTAAAAATGCCAAATATATTTATAAAGTAGGTACCAAGAAGACCAAAACGATTTCATTTCAAAATTCAAAAAATAAACCTAGACTGCAACAATTGTGGTGTACTTAGAAGAGCCTATATCGACTGACAATTATCAATTATCCGAAGGTATATCGAAATACAAAACCACAAAATCACATTACCAATTCCTATTAACGAAAAAAAAAAAAAGAACAAACCTTAATATCTGAACCACCAGACAATTTCAATTACGATATCAAAGTAGAAGACTTAATTCGTACTGACCATGTGAACGACGAAAATAGCGATAAAATAGCATTAACCTGGACAACGGCCTCAAAACACAATTCGCATTACAGACGAAACACCCGTCTATACAAAAACTTTTAGGTACTTAAAAAGAATATAAAGATAGAAGACGAAAAATTAGCAGAAGTGGCCGATTTTAGATATCTAGTAAGTCAAAAAAGTCAGGACGGAAGGAGTAGTAGGGACATAAAGCAGAGAATAGCGCAGAGTCGAGTCAATAAAAAGAAGTCACTTCTATGATCCGAACGGTTAATTTAGAAATTCGAAAGACGTTGTTAAAGGTGTATGCTTGGAGCAAGGCGCTGTACAGGTGCGTAACATAGACAGTGGGCGCGGCGGAAAAGAAAGGTTAGAAGCGTTCGAAATGTGGTGTTACAGGCGAATGATGAGGATACCGTTGATAGAGAAGGTTAAAAATGAAGAGGTATTAGAAAGAGTAAGAGAACAGAGGACTCTATGGAAGTAAAAAAGAAATAGAGGAGATAGATTAGTAGGACATCTTCTCAGGCATGAAGATCTAGTCAGAGACATATTAGAGGCAGCAACGGAAGTTAGGAAGGGTAGAGGTAGACCTACATTAGATTACTGTTTGCAAATAGTTAAGGATATGGGTTGCTCTAGCTTTAGGGAAATGCGAAGATAGCGCAGGATAGGAAAAAGTGAAGGTGCGTGTCCAACCAGTATTAGGACTGACGACCTTATGATGATAATCTTGAAAAAGAATACACAAAATGAAATCATTAAATTATTTAATGACAAAATAGCCTTTATTTCACCCTATTCGTCTGTTCAGAAGAACTCAAACTAAAATAGCGTATGATCATAGACTACAGAAAATTAAATGAAAAGTCGATAAAGGGGAAGTATAAAAGTTTATAAAAAATACCAAATCTTATATTTTTATTAAATGGATGTCTAGAGTTATTCGAACGGCTTCTAGACTTTGTAAAATTTTGAGCTAGTAACATTTATTTTAATAATTATAAAGATGTCGCTTAATTTTAGATATTACACTTTCTCAAAACCCGTTAATTTACTATAATAGTTGAAACATTTTAAATTGAAATGAAAAAGAAAACAATTTATTTTATTTATTTTACTGTAACTATAATTTTCTGTAAGTAATTATTAATTTTCATACTTAACTTTCACTAATACGGAACCCATTAACGTTCATTGTTAGGAACTGTCCATAATTCACAAAAATTGGTAAACTTAATTTCATTTTAATGTAATAGGTGTTGTTATGATTGTGATATTTTAAAATCGATATCTTTATTGTTATACATGGGAATGTGTATTCTAATTCAGAATTTAATTTATGAAGGTTGGACTACATTAACCTTAGGTACTTAGCACATATGTTAAGTATGCATTGATAGTGACTAACTAGATTTAATTTCATTATGTATATTTTTTTCAAATGACGTTATTTAAAAAAAATTACAGCAGAGTACATGCAGTTTTGTAATCTTAACAGGCAACAAGTGTTTTACATACCTACTCACTGCTTAAGACACTTGAAACTTGAGGACGCTTCTAACAAATACAAGTATACATTCATTATTTTAAGTATTAAAAGTAGATTGAATGAACCCCTTTTTGAAGTTTCTCTTTTCGAAATTTAATTTTATAGGTGAGTGTAGACCAATTCAGCCATATTAAATACTTACTTGTGAGCCATGTTTTTAAAAATTTTCTTCCCAAAAAGAAAATTATTTATAAGGAGTTCAGAAACGCGGAAAACTGTATTCTAAATCATGAAAACGGCAAGACTGCTAGAGGAATTTCTGGATCACAAATAAAATTAACTTATAGACCTCTGGCATTATTTTTTTATATTTTTAATCGGTACACTGATCAAGCAAAATACCGAATTAAATAGTAAAACTTTTAACGTGTTAATGTAATTAAAAAAAAAATAAAATTCTTATCTTAAATTATACAATTTAAACGACTGGCCATGTTGGCAGGCTGGCGTGACCCAAGGAGAAGCCGATAGCTAGGTAGTTACTATGTCGTTAAGACTGCCAAAACTATTGTAGTTATGATGTAGTTAAAATATTAAGTAAGTGAAATTATTTCGGTCCCTGTTATGGGCATTTTTATTACATTACTTTTTTTATGAAGCAACCTTCCCAAAAAACGGCAAAGTTGAACTACAACTATCGATAAAATACAAATCAGTAAGATAGTTACGTACATATTTATCTCTGCGGATCATCATAAATATATCTACCTTCGATAGATTTTCTGATTGCGCTTTTCCAAATATACAAAATATCTTTCAAATAATCACTAAATACATATATTTCCTGAACAAAATATTATTAAACTCTTTGAAAATAAACGAAATAGTTATAAAAAAGTAGAGTATATATATGTAACAATCACTGGTGAACCTGGGTCTAAATAATTTTTATGCAAAAATAAGACTGAACCAAAATATGCAACTTAAAATTTACGAAAGTTTGTTTTATTACTTTATTCTTGGTCCTTTATTTGAATTTATGGGGCATGCAGGAAACTGGTCTTCTCAAAATTCCTGATTCGGTTTAATCATCGACAATCGACATCAGGAGCTTTGTAATAACGGAATTACTGTAGTTATAAACTTATGTATGTATAATATTATTTATCAAATGTTGTCTTTAATAGCTTGTA